TGCTAATATAAATCCCAAACACATACAGACAAAGCCGAGCCGACTCATCATCACTACACGTGGATAGACGTCATGAAGAAGAACGTACTACTTGAACCCACCTCGAAAAGCTTGACAATGAGTGCCAATCGACTCGACTCAGCCACTCCTCAGTCCTCAATAGTGTCATTGTCATTGCTCCCAAGAAGAGATTGTGACACTATCTTCAACAATATAGTTGAGAACTTTTCATCAACTCAGTCACCCAACTCAACCAAACAACGATTATCAAGATACCAAGAAACGTCACTCAATTTCAATTGGTCGCACTCGGCCAGAATGTAAAAAAGAATGAGCCAACAGGGTCAATCATTCAAGAGTACATTCATGGTGGGACTTTTCGGCCCACTCTGCTCGATCTCACTCAATCACCTGCTAAAACTAAGACTCCACCTCTTCTCTCTATTTTTTGCAACAAAAATGGCAGCTGTTAAAATAGGTGCCCTAGAGCCAATCAATTATTGTAAAATTGACTATGTAATAAATGTTTATTTATCAATAAAAGGCATATTCTACTATATCACGAAATCATATTGTATGTAATGATATATGTTCTTAGGATGGTTGAACCGTGATGAGGGTATCAAGTGTTTCAAATCTTGATAGTGAGAACTCTATGATCACATATGGTGGTCATTCTAGAAACATTTGTAGCCCCTGTATTATTCTGACCAAGGACACAGATAATACGGTAAGGCTATCATAGTGTTGAACGACCCTTGTCGAAAGACAATGACTGGTCTCACTTGGCAAGGTTGTTTACCGACAACCTAGTGAAATGCATGGGTGCTTGCTAGAGGCAAGTTCACTAGACAAACCCACCAGAGGATTCCATATGGATGGTAACCCTAGTGTCTATAGAATAAATCATCTAACGAATGGTGGTGCATGTGATCCTTAGACTTGAGATCACCGGAGCACCTTGTGCACCAATTGGTGTAGTTTGACACTAGCCCAACATAATTCTATTTAGAGCTATCAATACGGTAGTGATTGGCTACATTAAGAAGTGTATCGAGACTATGGTTGATCAACATAGGATTCATCACTCTTGGATACGGGAGAAGTTATCTCACTAGGTAATTCAATAAATGGCAATAACACTAAATTTGGCCACAATGGGATTAAGTTGATGCTCAATCCAATTTAATATTCCTGTCATTGGTCCAGTAACTGAATACAAACATGTCGAGGATATATGAGGTTGACACTATTTCTGTACCTTAGTCTCGATGAGATAACAGTTGATGAAAGGATTTGATTGCACAGTAACTATACCGTTGACAGGCTGCGGTTTTGCTAAATCTAAATCTATCGGGTGGCCATAATGCCTTGCTAGGGGCCAATCTTGGTCTGTGTGTAGTGAGACGATTAATTGGTATTAATCGCGACACTACACACTGCCGATATGATGAGGAGCCTACGGGTCACACACTTAGAAGATAATTTAAGAATCAATTTGTGAGAATGGGGCATTTTCATCTTTTAGGACGAAAATGTATTTTAGTAATCTCACAGTGCAATTAAATTTGCTAAGGTTGTTGCCTATATTTAATTTTAAAATTAAAATTAAATGAGTGAGATTATATTTAAATATATCTATGTATATATTTAAATGAATTATTATTATTAATTGAATGTTAATATATTATTATATATTAATTGATTTTAATTATAATAATAATTAATTAATTAAAATACCATAAAGGGTGTGTTTGGTTGCAAGGGTGAACTAGGGTTGGAGTCCATGGCCATTCCTAAGTGGAATAGGGTTTTAATTGTTGCACTATATAAGTGCAACTTAAAATTAAAACATTAAGAGGAATTATTCATTCAGTTAAAACCCCAGCCACCCTGTCTTTCTCTCTCTCTCTCTCTCAAGAAGAAAATTTTTCTTGTTCTTCTTTCTTGATTTTTTAAGCCCTTGATTGTTTTAGCAAAATAATCAAGGGTTTTGCGGATTATCTTCTTGTGGACTTCTGTGAGTGCGATCCTACTTTGGATCAATTGGCAAAAAATCACGTGAACAGTAGAATGTGAACAGTAACCGTGAACAGTGTTCCTATCCGAAATCAAAGATATTCGAAGGAGCCTTCAAATGTACATAAGTATTCTAATCTTTGAATGAATTTCTTTATACATATTTTTGTTTATAAACATGTAAACGGTATAATCTATACTCGGATCTAGGCAAAGAAAGGTAACTAATTTACCGATTGAATTTTTGTTTTCCGTTGCGTATGGTAAATCAATTACTTACAGTGGTATCAGAGCCTTGGGTATTAGATTTTATTGTTTAATTGATGTTTGATAACATGTATATTTGTTTGATAACATGTTATTACATGATTTGAAGTGTTTTTAAATCTGGAAAAATTATGTATGTTGAATGTCTTAATTAATCAATTGATTAAATAATGTGTTGATTGAATGTGTATTGGTTGGTTGGTATCCTAGTCGAATGTTTAAGCATTCGATTTGATTTGGATCCGTATCATTATGCGAAAAATTGCAAAAGACATTACTATACCTAATTCATTGTTTTACGACGTTAGCTGCGGTGAAATAACACTTCGCCGTGGCGAGATGCAAAAAGTGAATTTGGCTGCAACGAAATAAAACTTCGCCGTGACATAAAACTCTCTGGAACGATTTGTGTTTTCTGGAAGTTCACGGTCGCCGTGGCAAAATAAAACTTCGCTGCAACGACCATGTGTGCATGAACTTCGCTGTGGCAAGAAACCTACTATTCGTTCTTGCTTTCCGTTTTTTGCACAAGGGCTAAATTGTAGTTTTTGAACCTTTAAAGCCAATATTCATTATGCACGTTTAAGGTGGTAACTTGATAATTCAACCTACCCAATTCAAAAAATTGATTGTTTTTGAATGTATGCAATGTTCTTGTTTGATAATTGCCTGGTGCCCAGTACATGAGTCTTAGACCTATTGTTTATTGTTTATTAGGTTTGTCTGTAATTTTTACAAACAAATATGACATGTGTGTCCTGCCTCTCTTTCTTAAATCTCCAAGTATTTCTTCTCCTCATCTCATTCCCCTCGTATGTAACGCGAGGTTTCTATTTTATTGATATAAATTAGAATAGGTTTTTTATTATAAAATTATTTGTAATGATTGTGAAGAAGAAACGAAGGAGCTATGAAAAGGAATGACTTGAAGACCAAGATTAACTTTTAAACCCTAGGTTGACCTACCGATTCCTCTAGGCTTGAGGAAATCAGTTTAGTGGGTCATGTACCGGCACGTTTAATTTTTTGTTTAAAATGCATGCTAAGGTTGAATGTTCAATAAGATGTCAAACAATGACATTCTAACAAAGATAATAATCTGGTGAGACATTAAATAAAAACCGTCAAATAAGATATATTAAGTCACGTATGCCTTTCATCACCATGATTTTAATCAAACCACTATTTGTCAGAACCTTGTTCGCCACAGCGAAGGGTACACTTCTACCAGTGGGAGGTTAAAATTCATTGGAGTTTTCCTTAATGATGATGGGTCGACTTAAAATAACAGTTTTGTTTGTTCGCCACAACGAAGGTTGATAAACACGTCATAGGCATAGTAGAGAAGTACACATGTTGAGTGTACATGGCGACATGTAGTGTCCACTCTACTGATACTGGGAATCACACTTGAGGACGATGGCTAGGCCATCATTGGATTGTGTGATTGGCTTGTTGGCTTACTTCACATTTGAGGTTGGTAGTGGGAGCTATCAACTAGCGTGGATTAAGTTTGTTAGCCTACCTAATCAACCCATTTTGGCTTGTTCGCCACAACGAAGGTTTGAAATGGGCCAGATGGGATCTCAGTCCACTAGGAAAGCCAACAGGCTTTCTCGAGTTAATAGTGAGGGCTATTGGCTTGAGAAAAATACTGGGATTGTTTTTAATAAAAAACCATATTAAGTAATAATAAACATTATATTGACTTTACTTTTCTGAATTGTAGATTCACTTAAAAATGACTATTATGAACCTGCGACCGATAATCGAGAAAGAAAACAAGTTGGATGGATCCAATTTCGGACTCATATCGTAATCTTCGGATTATACTTAAGTTCGAAAAGAAATTTTATATCCTTGATAAGTTACACATGGCTGAGTCTGATCCTAAGGCCACTCAGGAAGTAAAGGAAACTTATCAAAAGTTCCTTGATGATGCTGATGGCGTTCAATGCTTGATGTTAGCATCAATGACACTAGTGTTGCAAAAGTAGCATGAGAATATATTTAAATATATCTATGTATATATTTAAATGAATTATTATTATTAATTGAATGTTAATATATTATTATATATTAATTGATTTTAATTATAATAATAATAATTAATTAAAATACCATAAATGGTGTGTTTGGTTGCAAAGGTGAACTAGGGTTGGAGTCCATGGCTATTCCTAAGTGGAATAGGGTTTTAATTATTGCACTATATAAGTGCAACTTAAAATTAAAACATTAAGAGGAATTATTCATTCAATTAAAACCCTAGCCACCCTATCTCTCTCTCCCTCAAGAAGAAAATTTTTCTTGTTCTTCTTTCTTGATTCTTGAAGCTCTTGATTGTTTTAGTAAAATAATCAAAGGTTCTGCGGATTATCTTCGTGTGGACTTTCGTGAGTGCGATCTTACTTTCGATCAATTGGTAAAAAATCGTGTGAATAGTAATCATGAACAGTGTTCCTATCTGAAATCAGAGATATTCAAAGGAGCCTCCAAACGTATGTAAGTATTCTAATCCTTGATGAATTTACTTTATACAGATTTTTATTTATAAATATGTAAACAGTATGATCTATATTCGAATTTAGGCAAAAAAATGTAATTAATTTACCGATTGAATTTTTGTTTTCCGCTTCATATAGTACATCAACTACTTACAGCAGCAACCTCTTCTAAAAGATCATCGACCGGACCATTTGGTCCTTCTCTCTCACCTTCCAGTAGACCCCACAGCTTTCATCACACCATCCAGTAAGCATCCTCCATTCGGCACGTAGCCAATCCCCCATGTAACGAAAAGACGAAGAAACACACACAACAAACTACCATTCATAGGTTAGAATTTGATGGATACCAAAAGATGGAAGTCTACTTCTCAAGGCAGAGAACCCGTCATGGACACTAGTTAATGGAGAAACCACTTGCAACCTCACATGCAACTGCAGCAAGCATGCTACGACCTAATTAGTTGTAGTCTTCTTAACAATCTGGTGCGCGATAATCATCTGTTATGCAACCTTCCGTGACCCAAATCAGCCTCTATCTCTAGTCTTCAGCAGAACCAGCAGTTGTCTGTTCAACACTCGACACAATGCCGCTGCCGCCTCCAGATCTGTAAGTATGTTTATCAAGATTTTGTTCGCCTCAAGGCATGCAGAAACATCTTGACTGCTCCAAAATTCAGACCTATAATATAGATGATGAGAAGGTGTTTCACTCGAGTTCTCGACCTAAAGTGAAAGATGCAAAGCCCTCTACGAAATCGAAGTCGGTTACCTCTTTCAAAGCTTGTGGCAGGAATACAATGGTCTCTCACGGAAGAACTGCTATAACTTAGAGAATTGTCGGGCTGGAGAGAGTCCTCTCTTTCTTTTACTGTTCCATCTGATGTGAGTCAAGCATCATGGGTGAACTCAATATTAAAGCCAACGGAAGCAATTGCACAAGAGAAAAGGCATCCATCGTAGAGCTCCTCTACGTTGAAATATCGGCCTGCAGAACTTGTTTCCATCACTTGCAAAGACCGGAACCCCTTTACAGTCTACATGTGTCTTCCCAATCGGCCTATACATCTCCAGTCGGCCATGTGTCTCCATTCGGATCATACGACTCCATTGGCTCATCCATTAAAGTAGCTAGTTCTCCAGCTTCTTTCCCACTCGGCAAACACAGAAGTGGTCCACTAAGTAATGCGGTGGTAACACCTTCACTCGGATCTGCCAACATAACACTCTACCACATCGACTTGCGCTGAAACTTGGTGCACCTCCTCCACTTGGCATAATGAATCGACATGAGTGGGCCTTGAGCTCTCTCTTTTTAACATGGACGCCATGCTGTCATGCATATTACTTCACCTATTAACTTAACACTCAGTTTGGTTTATTTTTTCTCCATTTAGCTTATTACTTAAACACATACATCCCATGCATTTTTCTTCTCTATTAGGCTTAGAGCTCCTCCCAACTCAATAAAAATTGAGTACTACTCAGCAAAAAACAATGCCCACCTTCAATCAATTCACATTGACTCGACTCATAAAGACTAATGTCTTGAAATTTTCAACTACAAGTCGGTTACGCCGACTCGGCCACAAGGTTTGATTCCTTGAATTTTAACTATAAATCATCACGCCAACTTGGCCACAAAGCCTAATGCCTTGGGAGTTCAACTATAAGTCGGTCATACCGACTCGACCATATGACTTAACTATCCAAAGAAAACATATCCAAATAAAAATTAAACATTTATACATATCCATTGACCACAGCTAACAATACATTAAAAATTGATACAAATAAAAGTCCGAAATTAAAAAAAAATAAAAGTCCGTAATAAAACGTCCATAATAAAACAACAAAATAACTAAATAAATCCCAATAGAAAACAACAAAAGAAATTGTGCAAATTTAGGGATTAAGATTATTCTTATTATTATTTATTTCATATATATATATTTTAGTAAACCGGTTCAAAAAATGGGCTTCGGTTAACCAGTTTTCATTTTTACCCGAATCAAAAACCGAACCTAAAATCCAGTTTTTTGAATTCTTTGAACCATAACCGAACCATTTCTTTGGTTAACTGGTTTTTCGGTTTGGTTTTTATATTTTTTTGAACACCCCTATGACCATATGCAAAAGTATCCCCCTGTCACTAAGTCTCATTTGGACGTTTGCTTGTTTGCATTTCCATTTGATGCCATCTTTAATATTCACTTGATTCTTTATTTCAAGATTCCTAATTTGCATAAATGAAATTTAAAAGTGCTAAGTCTTACCAAATGTTTTTCGCAATCAATATTAACTATTTTAAGGCTGGGATAATTTGTTGGCAGCTTTATTTGAAATGCTTATTTTTCTACTAATACACGTTGCCAAATGCCAAGGCTTCTATTTTCTTACCAGTTAAGCTTTACTTAGATGTTTATTTTTATACAGAGGATTTGTGAACAGATCTAATTTTGGTCTGCAACAAAACGCTCAACCATTATTTCACCAATTATATATTTGGGTGGTTTAATTTTGGCTTTATAGAATGTTAAATTTACATTAATAAAATTGCATATTAATAAACCTGCAATAAATAATTTAAAAGAAAGTTTTTATTCTGAGGATGAGATACAATCCTCCAAATCATGACTTGCTTACTAAGTGAACTTAAACCAAATTTCTCCAAAACCATGTATTACTTTTACCCAGTATTATTCATGACAAACATTTACTCTTGCAATAAGTGCTTTAGTCGCCGGCTCCCCTGTCATTAGGTCACCAACTTCCTTGACCTTCCGGCAGGCATCAGCTCCCCCCCAAAAATGTTGACTGTCTTGTAAATGATACAATAGTTTGCAAAGATAGTAAAGACGTTATTAAATGAGTACACATAGCTTGTAATATAAAGTTTGTAACAATATTATAATTAATTAACCATTATGTTAGCAGAATATTTTCAAGAAAAAATAATACACAGATTTGCCCCCGGACATCCACTGTTGTGATAGTAAATAAAGTCATTTCAACTACAACGACTACTAGGTGCCAAAATGTAAGATCTCACCAAGCTGAAAGAGAAAGTCTATTCTTCACTCATTTCGGCTTCTGGTACATCCTTCTATAAATTTTTGCACCTTCAAATTCAGCGTGAATTTCTCTTTCAGTCCTTATGCCCATTGGGTTTTTTAATAACCATCCTTCGTTGTCACAAGGCACACTCAGGTCAATTGTGTCAATGTGTTGTAGCACGCTTGATTCTGCATCAAACTGATTTCTCATGTCAAGAGCCACTTCATGAACATCAGACTGCACAAAAACCTGTTTGATCACAATATACCAAGACTTTGTAAGAGAGCAAGACACATCTAAAAGGCTAAAGCTTGCATGTGAATGAAGTTTGAAGTAGAATATTATGTTATATAAAAGCACATTATAACTTCACTCGACATCATTTTCAAGAACTTGATACACGAGGAAAGGGTATCTGCAGGATTAATCTGAAGAAACAACAGCCGCACTTTCTATAAATATAGTTTTAGAGATTGGTTATCAAATACAACCCAGTAACAAACATCCAATTTAGTATAATGTGTGAAGAAAAACTAATTCTGAAAACCTTATAGTTCATATGACAAACTGAAAAAATGTAAACTGAAATTACGATGACAATGCAACTGACATAAACTCATAAATGAACACTAAATGCAGGTGAAGTCGATTGAATGCCGTGGTTGGAAGCATCCACAACATAAAGAGGTGAAGCTATCCATTTAAAACAAACTGCAAACAAAATAATAAATAAAGTGCCTCATTTCTTCCTTATACAGCTAAATTTGACGCAGTTTTCCCTTTTTTCTTAATTTATAAAAATATAAATAAATTTAATCTTACAACCGACAGCAAGATATATAAATTTCCAACAAGTACAACAGGTGACTCAAATACATATGGTGTCATTTTAAGTTGCGAACTACCACCAATCTGGTCACCATAAGAAGTTCCCATTATAATTCCTATCAAGTAAAAGTCTCGCTCAATGGAGACAGTACCTTAAAAATTAAATTCTTCTCATTATTAAGGAAAAACTTCAAATCAAATAACTGAAAAGAAAGGTAGAAAAAAGCATCCATGCAAAGAAAATTCTGCCTCAGAGCATATACCTTTCCTCCAGGCATCAAATGATTTACAATAGAATCTACTAAAGTTTTCTGCACAACCCTTCTCTTGTGATGTCTTTTCTTGAAATGGGGATCTGGGCACTGAGCATTGAGAGCGAAAACTATTTAGCATTGAAACACTATCTACTAATTGTCTTATTGAATATTCACTTGCCATGTTGCACTCACCAGGATTGAAACTAGCATCAAGGGTCCAGGGTATGTGGATACCAATTGCTTGAAAGAAAGTGTGGCATTTGCAAATATAAAACGTCTGTGAAAGATCTCAAATAGTTATTCTTTTAAATCACCAATAAGATAGATATTGTCAGCTTTTTTATTTGCTCAACCTATAAAGGAATTTCAAAGCCTTACATGTTATTAAGAGCCAACTCTTTCACCCAGAATTCTGCGCGTTTGACAAGCTGCATCATGGAAAGAGTAATATGACATAAGAAATAAGCACCCTGTCTTCAAAGTTCAGGATAGAATAGAGGACCACGTAAATGTACATTAATTCAGTCAGAAGAATTCTTGAGAGAATTAGAAGTAACCCAAGGAGTTCATTCCCATACTTTCTGCCGGATTTCCAGTCCCAAATAATTTCCAGTATCAGGGTTTTTTCTTGCAAGCCACATTAAAAATCGGCCACTACCTGGGGAATGTTTATATTGTTAGATACATGTTTGAAATAAAAGCACTTTCTCCAACAATCAGTAACAACAATGATTACAGCATTCACAACTACCACAGGAATAATAAAGAGTGATGATAATTATTTAAAAAAAAAAAAAAATCAATCATTGAAGCTGATTCCATAAGCCAAAACTTGATAGTAAAGCACATAGTTAACAAATGTCATCAATAGTAAAAATATCCATTTGTCTTTTCTCATCGCATAGAACAGAAAGTGTTTTGTCAAGGGTATAAATTTAGAACAGCCAAGGGCAAAGGCATAAAAGAGGCACTTATGCAAATTTAAAGGCAAGGACCATCTCTTTTAGGAACCTCCTTCAAGAAAGCAGCTTAGAGAAATGCCTTTTCTTGCAACTTGGTTACTCTCAAGTGTAATCAAGGGAAGGCTATTCAACTTATTGAAGGTATCAACTGTGACACAGTACTTTCTGTTTATATTCAAATTTATCGTCCCATACAATGCCTAATACAATAGGAATTTGTAAGAGCTGAAACGGAAAATGTAATGTTTCAAGTTCCCATGTAAGATTCTCATGTAACAAGATGAGCTAATCAGACCAGAACACAAGATATCTTAGGACTGGTGCTATTTGCTTTTTGGGATGTTCATAATAATGAAGTTGAACATTCACAATCATTATTCTATTAAAAAAATAAGCAAACAAGCACCATCACATGACATTTCGCTCAAACTTATTCTTTTTTCTTTCAAGATGTCTTCTATCAGAAAAGATAGCTTCAACAAATCCTAAACTTTAGCACATATGCAAATATTATATATATGGTGAAGGGTTACCACTGCCAATATCCACCATAAGTGGCAAAGTTGGGTCCTTGTAAACTTCATTCCAATCGGGTACTTGCACTGGCGCCTAATTAAAACAAAACAATTCCGTATTAATTACATTATTAACACAATACAATTATAAACTGAGTAAAAACAAACTCAGCAGACTCCATACAGAGAACGATGAACTCAGAGGGTTGACATGCTGCCTGATTCTCACATGGCCCAGCTCCTGCAACAAAACAACAACAATGAATAAAAACCCACAATTTAATTTTTTTTTTTTTTTTTTTTTTTTTTAAGAAGTAAAATATATATATATACCCCAGAAATTTTTTCAGAGAGATTGAGGTCAGCATATTCCAAGGCTACAAGGTCTGGGCTTCTGAGCTGTTTGGTAGCAACACAAGCACAAGGGGAAGTGTAATAGGAACGATGATAGTGATGAAAATTGAATGTTAAAGATGGTTTGGAGACTAAAAGCTTTGAAGTTGCATTCAAAGCAGCGACTGTTTGTAACTGTAGGCAAAGGTACGAACCCATTTTCACTCTACTTTCCTACTAATCATCCGTTTCACTTATCGCCCAATTCGGAGGGTCGGATCCGGGTATGTTTGGTTGGGTTGTCCCCATTATTGAGGTGACGTAGAGCGGGCGGTGGGCTGGCACGGCCCATCTTAGAAGCACGGCATGATAAGGCCCATGATCGTGCGTGCGAGCCGTTTTGTGGGTCTTAAAAAAGGCATGAATTTTTTAAAAAAAAAAAAAAATAGCCATTAAGAACAGCTATTTCACAGTTTTTGAAATTTTGAAATTTTTTCTTTTAAATACCCCATTATTTCTCTTATTTTTTCACACTCCAATTCATATCTTCATTCTCCTTTCTCTCTCATTTTGTATTTGTATTAATTAAAAAAATACAGAATTACTATGAAATATTATTTTGAAATATAATAAAATAATGAGACTTTGAAATATTAATTGAATTTCACCACTTTTTATTACTTATAATTATAAATCACAAATACAAACTTACAAATTAGGATTAAGAATTAACATTAACAATTACATCTTCATTAGAAATACAAGTATACAAATACAATACAATTATCTCAACTTTGATTCTAATTTACAAATATTCAAAGAAATTAATGAAAATGAAGATGTATGATATTTTTTCAATCAATCATTTACTTTGAATATTTTTAAACTAGAATCCAAGTTAAGATAGTTGTATTATATTTGTATACTTGTATTTCTAATGGAGATGTAATTATTAATTTTAATTCTTAATCCTAATTTTTATGTTTGTATTTGTAATTTATAATTATAACTTATAAGTAATGAAACGTGTTGAAATTCAATTAATATTTCAATGTCTAATTATTTTATTATATTTCATAGTGATTATATATATTTTTTAATTAATACAGATATAAAATGTCACTAAATATAACATATAAAATATTTTTATAATAATAAATCAAAATTACCATAATTTATAAATATTAAATATTAAAAAAATTGTAGGCCAACCCTAAAACATGCAAGCCGGCCTGCATGCTAGGCCCACAGCACGCACGCTATATAGCGGACTGTGTTGTAGGCCATTCAGATTTGGCGCGCGAGCATGGCACAACGAGGCATGAAATTCTACGGGCCTTAGCACGGCACGGCCCACGACACGACGGGTCTTGAATTTTTAGGCACGACACAGCCCATTATTGATTCTAAGGTAATATCATCTTATATTATTTACATTACCATGTTTGATTGTCAAGTAATACAAGATTATGGTAATCTTTCAAAATCAATAGTAATTACTATTGATTATATAAGTGATAATCTGAATACCACAATTTTCTTAGATATTACAATTTTAATTCTTACTATTAAAATTTTTGGATAATAATGCCCCTGTTTTGAAATTAATTTACATGAATTGGCTATTACAATTTAATTAATTAGAGATAAATTTTTGTATAGTGATGCCATTGATTTTAAAACAATTTACAAGTCATCAAAGAGGACCATCGGCCACCACCACCTACCATTGGCCACAACCACCAGTCGACGGCCACCATCGTTGACCACCAGCCAACGTGGCTGAAACGACGCATGACCATCCGAATCTAGTCGCCTGGTCGTTTGTCGTTTCCGACCAGATCTATTCTAGCCATTTCTAGCCAAATCACTGTAGATTTGGTTGGAAATAGCCAGATCCATGGTCATTAATAGCCATTGATCTAGTTGAAAACAGTCAAAATAGATATGGCTAGAAACGACCAAATCCCACACGGTCAACTAGATCTAGTCGGTCGTGTGTCGTTCCGACCACTGCTGGTCGTGACCAAGGTGGTGGCTGACGGCCCACAGTGGCTTGGGTGGGTAAGGGAGAGTTTGTTAAAATTTAAACTTTAATGTAGCTATAGTGTTTTAGCAAAATCTCAAATGTAGTACTTTAAAGCCTTTGGCATGTGCTTGGTTGTCTTTAAACATTCTTAGTAATCTTCAAGGTCATCATTTTTTCCATTAATATAACATTCTCAGTTATACAACATTCTCTGAACAAAACGCCTCCTAAGAAATAAGTACTTCAGTTATACATCAACGATTGAACATCATAATTCATACATCAAGTCTTTGTAATTTGTAAACCATTAAATAAAAATAAAAATAAAGGCTGCATTTAGTAGGCTTTTTTTTTACTATCCTCTCCAATCCAATGAAATAATTAACTTTTCTATTCAACTTAAAATCCAGTCTTATTCTATTAAACTCAAAATATTTAATAATTTTTTTTCTCAATGAAAGTTTATAAATTAACAAAAACACCTCTATCCACCCAAGCTACTATCACCCACTAGCAACCACCGTTGCCATTGCCACCGCTGGACGTCGACGCCATAACAACACACAATCGACTGAATTTGGCTGGTAGTGTACCGATCTATCTATTTCCGACTACATCCACGACAAAAGATCTGACCTTTGACAGCCATATTTGGCCATCAACAATAGCTTTATCTTGGCCATTGTTGATGACCAGATTTCTGGCCAACGATATGGCCGTTGTCAACGGCCAAATCTTTGGTCATAGATTTGGTCCGAAAATGCCGGATTGACGTACGATTGGCTTGATCCACTCGGTCGTGTGTCATTTTGGCCACTTCCGAGGTTGTCGATAATAGTTGGGTGGATGATAGTGTTTTTTTTAATTTATAAACTTTTATTATAGGTTGTGTTTATTAAATTAACAAATGTAAAAGGGTTAAAAAGGAATCTAAATATTTTCAGTAAATATTTTCCGAAATACATTCTATCCTATTGTATTTCATTAAATACTATTTTATTATAGAATGTTATTTAAAAAGCCTATCAAACGTGGCCTAAACCAACGGAGCGAAGAACTAGGTAAAATTCTTATTCGGTCAACAAGAATTTGGCGTACGGGACGACCTTCCTCCAAAGTCTCCATTTTATTTTCGTTTTCTTGCCACGAAATTTGTGTTTGGACACCTTTTTCAACAATTTTTAAAGCATAGAAGGGACGAAATGGTTGTCATGAGATACAAGGTTGGCTCCACTTTATATATATATATATATCTCAAAATAAATGGTATTTTAAATAAATTTTAGCAGTTGTATATTTTTCATTCGTTCTTTATTTTTGTGTTTTCAGACAACCATATCGAGCATGATTTTTTTTTTTCACATTTTTAAATACTATTTTAGATAAACAAATCGGAGACATTTCTATTTTTCTTTTTTATTTATTTATTTATTTTTTTTACATTTTTCAATCATTATCAATATTTAAAAAAATACTAAGAATTTATACATAAAATTCATAAAGAAACACACCTTAGACTTTTTAACCGATTCCTTTTGTCAGGGGTTGGAAGTTTCACACCAAAAAAACTAACCTATTAAGTTGAAAGACTATTCCTTTTATAAGCCTAAGACCTCCATAATATGCTTTCGATATGAGATTTGTTACACTTTATACTTCTATAGAGCACAAGGAACTATAACAAAAACACCTCCTAAGTTTGTTAATTTAGTTAAACACTTCTACAACAAAATATTAAAAATTAACAAAAATACCCCCATCCACCCACCCATTAAATGCTGGCAACTGGCCATCACCATCGGAGGGTGGCCGGAAGTCCCCGTAATGGCGCACGACCAATTGGATCTAGCAAGTCGTGCGTCGATATTGCCTTTCCAACTAGATCCATATTGGATCTGACTGGAAAATGCTAGATCTGAGCACTACCGACCAGATCCAGTTGGTAGTGTGCTACTATACTAGATTGTAACCACCTTCCGATAGTAGTGGCCAGAATCTGAAAAATGTGAGTGGATGGGGGTATTTTTGTCAATTTTTAAACTTTTTTTTGTTGAGGGTATTTAGTTAAATTAACAAACATAGAGGTTTAAAAAATTGAATAAAATTAAATTAAATTTTCAAAATACGAAAACAAATATATATTTTGGATAAGATTTCAAAACACACCCTATAAGTTGTCAAAACATATAGTGCCATATATAACAATTGTATTTAAGGACAAACTTGTCAAATTCGAAACAAACAAAAAATAGGGACTCTGTATGATGTCATATATAATAATTATTTAATTATTTAAAAATCATTGAAAATATCAAAGGCCTAGGTGTACGTGCTAATAGTCCAAAAACCTGTAAGTTCATGGCAAATGACATTGATTACCAAACATTGTCTTTAACTATTAAAAATTGACCGAAGAGAAGAAGACTTGCCATATAAAATGAAAGCTTGACTTGAATAAGCAAAGCTTTGAGTAATTGTGATACTAAATAATTAATGAATATGTCCTTTTTTAATTGATTAAATATAATAATTGATACTAATTTTTGTTAATATAATTTTTTGGTTATTAGGAGTTTTGGGTTGTTGGTATGAAAACAAATAGTGTGTGGAATTTCGTAGAAAATGTATATAAATGAGTTTATCACGTATGAAACTAAGAAAATGCAGGGAAAATACAGACATTGAAATGGTTGTTGAGATGTCAACGCAGGGTGGCTGGCTTTTAAATTAGATTGAGATTGATATTCACGTGCATATAAAACAATAGTAATAATAATTATTTTTCTACAGTGATGTAATTACCCTCAACTACCCACTGACTATCTTTATTTATTTTTTTACCCACCACGACGAAACGGATCTTGCCTTCCTCTCAATGTGTTCAATGTGTATTACTATTTTTATTGGTTTTAATTAAAATATTATAATTTAATCTAAATAAACCCTCCTTTAAGAATCGTAAACTATACCCTTATGCAGAATTATATACTATGAAAAATATTAACTGATTTTTCTTAAAATAACAATGCTTTTATAATTATATTATTTTAGCCAAATCAACTGAAATAATTCAGAAACACTTAGATGACAAATTTTACATTATTGTACACTTGGTATTAAGTTTAGTTTGCTTTAATTTGAATTTTTATACATGTAAAAAAAGAATTCTTAAATACTTCGTTTGATTTGTGATCCAAATATGATTTTCAAAAATAAGAATATGATTTAAATTTGTAAGTTGTATCTTAATATTTTTAATATTTGAAATGAGGTTACAACACTCTAAAATATTTTAAGACTAAGTATGTGAAATTTTTTTTTCTTTAAAAAAATCAATTATTAACCCTAAGTAAGATGAAGATGAATTATTGAAAAGCAGTAGGCCAAGCCAATAATCGAGTCAATTATAAGTGGAAGAACAATAGCACCCAAGAAACCACCATGCTTTTTCTTCCCACATTCAAACAAACATGGTGCTGATGTAGCCCCACACACTTTCATTATAAATGGCTATCATCCCTTCCAAAATTTGCATAACACAAACCTAATTAACACTCTTATTAATTCTCTTGTTTTCATCATTCTGTAATATCCAATCACATGGCGCCACCACCCACCTCCCTTGTCTTCACAGTTCATAGAAATGAACCTGAGCTTATTGTCCCTGCAAAACCTACCCCTCACGATCTCAAACTACTCTCAGACATTGATGATCAGGATGGCCTTCGTTTCCAGATCCCTGTGATTCAATTTTACAGGTACAACCCTTCAATGGAAGGGAAAGATCCGGTGAAGGTGATCCGAGCGGCCATTGCAAAAACTCTTGTTTTTTACTATCCATTTGCTGGTAGGCTTAGAGAAGGGCCTAAACGTAAGCTTATGGTGGATTGTACTGGTGAGGGTGTTTTGTTTATCGAGGCTGATGCAGATGTTACACTTGACAAATTTGGTGATGCTCTTCAGCCTCCATTTCCAGGCTTGGAACAACTCCTTTTTGATGTTCCTGGTTCTGCTGGGGTGCTCAACTCCCCTTTGTTACTTATTCAGGTACTTAACTTTTTTTCTCGTCAATTATTCTTTTTATGTTTTAATTATTCAAAAAAAGTAGTGTATGTATATAATTATAACATCAAATATATATTTCTTATCTTATAGATTTAGACTATGATGTACTACTATCGGTTGATATTACAAAACAAAATATATCAAGTTTTATCGAATTAAAATCTACAAAATTTTGCCACATAACAATCGACTAATTACATAAATTAATTTTAATATATTTAAACAAAATTTATTGGATCAAAGAGTGAAATTTTTTTCATGTAACAATTAACCCACTAATTACAAAAATTTATTTAACATAATTAATTTAATTTTAGTTTGGGTTGTTTGATTGGCATCATGAGTTTTTATGAGCTTAATTGTTAATATAGATTGACAAATGGTATTGTAATCCTTTTATAAGTTGTTAAAAAATTGAAAATGAGTAGACATGTAAATTATGAGTTTATTTTATATACTTATCGGGAGATTGTTTCATATGAGTATATCTAAGCTTTTTAAAAACCGTAAAAAATCTCCCTTATAAATATTAAATACCCTTTTTAAATTATTAAAAATCCCATACTTTTATGGGGTTTTTAATAATTATAAAGGGATTTTTACTAGTTTCCAAAAATATTAGGTGTATTTAAAATTAAAGGATCCCGTAAAACATATATAAAATTAATTATTGATTTCATTTTAATGATTGGGGTATGGAAACTTTTCATAAGATAGTGCTAGGCGGAGTGGCGTGATTCACACATTGAGGTTTGTAGTACAGTATGTTGTAGGGACCAATCAACTACTTACAGTAAGGCCTTTACCCAATGACACTTGCATAATTTGTTTTTTAAACCTAAAAGTTAAACTGTATTATTTGATTGACATTTTTAAATTAAAAAAATTAAATTAATAATATTTTGTTCACAACTTAGTCATACAAACAGACAAAAATTATTATGTAAAATGATTACTCTATCATTTATTTTTTGTCTATTTGTATGATTCAGTTATAAACATAACATTGCTTATTTATATAACAATTTTATTAGACTTTTTATAATTATGTCTAATAAAACAAATCACAATTGTTAATTAATCACATGTATAACAACAATCTTTTTCAAAATATCATTTTAATTACCTTAACCCATTTAAACCAGCTTTCACTTCTTATTCAATGGAAAAATTTTCATCAAATTAAGATTGTCTTAACGTTGGATACAGACCTATACTAAATTTAAATTTATTCAAGTATTTTTATTCGTAAAATATATTAATGATTTTATTGAAATGGCAGGTGACACGTCTCAAGTGCGGTGGTTTTATATTCGCGCTCCGACTGAATCACACAATGAGCGATGCAGCTGGTTTAGTCCAGTTCATGGAGGCTGTTGCTGAGATGTCACGGGGGGCTCAAGCCCCCTCTGTTTCACCAGTTTGGGAAAGACACATTCTCAATGCTCGTAATCCACCACGAGTCACTTGCACTCACCACGAATACGATGAAGTAGCTGACACCAAAGGCACAATCATTCCACTCGATGACATGGATCATCGTTCTTTCTTTTTTGGCCCCTCTGAAGTTTCTGCCATTAGAAAATGTCTCCCTCCTCATCTCCGTGGTTGCTCCGCTTTTGAAATACTCACCGCTTGTCTCTGGCGTTGCCGAACCATCGCTCTCCAGCCAGACCCCACTGAAGAAATGCGTGTAATATGTATAGTAAATGCACGTTCTAAGTTTGACCCTCCATTGCCTTCAGGTTACTACGGTAATGGGTTTGCATTTCCTGTGGCTTTAACCACAGCGGATAAGCTTTGTAAAAATCCATTGGGGTATGCTTTGGAGTTAGTGAGACAGGCAAAAGCTGATGTGACAGAGGAATACATGAGATCGGTGGCAGATCTAATGGTGATAAAAGGTCGACCACATTTTGCTGTGGTGAGATCATATCTTGTATCAGATTTGACAAGGGCTGGGTTCGGAGATGTCGATTTTGGTTGGGGGAAAGCAGCTTATGGTGGAGCTGCCAAAGGTGGAGTAGGAGCCATTCCTGGAGTGGCTAGTTTTTATATACCATTTAGGAACAAGAAAGGAGAGGATGGAATTGTTGTGCCACTTTGCTTGCCAGCTCCAGCCATGGTCAGATTTGTGAAGGAGATTGACAACATATTGAAGGACCAAACAGTTGTTAGTGAGAATAAACCGACTTTGATCACTTCTGCTTTGTAAGAGACCAATGTGTATTATTCTGTTTTCTGTTTGGAGTTTGGCTGCAATTAATGTGGTGAAGGCATGTTAAATTCTATGGTTATTTTTTCAATAAACTAAGTGTACTGGATCAATATATTTGGATATTTACAATTTTATCTCCAAGATTTGGGTATCATGCATGCCACACTTTCCCCTAATCACTATTTGATACAAACACCTTAGTCCTAAATGACATCAGTGCTATTAGCTCACTATAGACAGTAAAATCTACGATTGATTCAGAAGATACGAATCCTGTGAGAATAGAGCCACCGACAACATAATGGACCTGCACAGAGAAGAAAAGAGAACGTGAAGGCTAGATAAACACCATCTGTCGTAGACACTCTGATGCTCAAGTCGGTGAGGCTGAGAACAGAAAAGGTTACCAGAATAATGCAGTGGTTCTTGAGAGCAAGAACTTTAAGAGCTAGGTGCCATGGGTTATTTCTGAATAAATAATGAGAGGGTCTGTCCTTGTTTATATAGTGAACTCCAAGGGTTGAAATCCTAGTAGGACTTGAGTCCTACTTAGTAGATGAGTTCCAATTAGGAAGAGAATATGATCTCTTGCTTTTATCAGATTAGGCTTGGCACTTTCAGTAAGATCTGGGATCTTGACAGAAGTGGAAATAGAATAGGATTCTGATCCCTATTATGGATTGTTGTGGGTTGATGGGCTTGACTTGTAGGATAGCCCAACTCATAGAGTGGGCACTTCACAAGGTGGATTCAAGTGTGGGCCCAATCGGGATTGGGTCAAGGCGCTAGGCTGTGGTATGTTTATTTTGTTGGACCTTATCAGGCCCAACACGATTTTTGGCCCATGCAGTTTGTCCCCCACTCTCCAAGTTAAGGGGTATTTAACTTTGGAGAGTAGTTTCAACCGATTACAAAGGTGATAAATTATGGCCCTTTAGGAGAGAGCAACCTTTTGCTTGTCGCGACCGAGTCGAATAACGTTAGGGGGATCTTCGTTAGGCAAATATTAGCAGAACCGAGCAACTTTCGAAGATTCCGTGCAAGGAAAATTTAAGCAAGGTCGCGTCGAACACCATCAAGGGGATCTTTGCAAGGCAAAGATCAGTGGAACCGAACGGCTCTTAGGTAGTCTTTGCAGGGCAAATCTATGATAGACCGAAGATTATCAAAGGGATCTTTGCGAGGCAAAGATTGGTGGAGTCAAACGGCTCTCAGGGACTCTTTGTAAGGCAAATCTACGTTAGGCAAAGCCGAACGATTCCTTTGTGAGTTTGCAGGAGATTTATGTCAAATAGGTTGAGTCAAATGTAGGGCAGAGAGTTGTTATTAGGCACGGAGTTAACTAGCAAACAATTTCGTTGGTGAATGCTAGTGGAATTTATTCTGCTTTCCGACCTGAGCGGTTTATTAAGAGGAAACCTCAATCTAATCGTGCGGCTATCATTTGTTGTGGATTGGTAGTGTTTTTTCGCTTGTAGGCGTCAAACCTACTTGGTGGTGTTATGTTGGCTTGATGGACTGATTTTCCATGAGATGCGAGTGCCACGTGCTTGGTCTTAGACCTAATTATGCATTTGGGTGGGGATACGAAAAGCTCCCGCTTTTTGATGTCCAATGAATGGTTGCCACCTGTTGTTTTAGGGTGACAGGCATTAAATGCGTCAGATGACTTTTTAGTGGCGCATTTATTTCTACCTTTTCTTCTCTTCCTTCATTTCAGACAAAATTTCAAGCATTTTTCTTTAGTAGAATCTCGCAACCATTCCCAGTGAAAATAAGGTAAAATCTTCCTCTTGTTTCTTAGATTTTCGATTCTTTTTGTGTTACCTTTAAGTTTTTCATATATTCTTAGTATTTTATGCTAGTTTTGGTGAAGATTTGTGTCGATTCTAAGAGAGAAAAAATAGTTTTCGAGGTTTGAGAGAGCAGGTACAAGGTTTTCTTAAGAGGGTGATTTTTTAGGAGGTTGAAAGCAGTTTAGTGTTAAGGCAATTTTAGGGTGTGGTTTTTGAAGTTTTAGAGAAGGTGAATAGCTTCCAGAGTTCTATTTTCATTTTTCATTTGACAAGTGTGTAGCCGTGTTGGACGGATATAGGACTTTGTGAGTTTGAATGTAAGGGAAGATTAGCGGAGCTGAACAAAGTGATAATGGCTGGGGGGAATGACTACGAAGATGCTTCGACGATCGTAGTGCTTCCTGAAGATGATGGGTTAGCTCCAACTGAGGGTGTGAGTATTGCCTTCTGTGCGGGGCATATGCTAAGGGATCAAGGTGCCAAGCTGAACAAAGATGGCTCGAGCGATGGAGTTTTAGCTGATGACTCGTAGACCAATAGTGATACTTAAGCATAACAAGTTGGTGGGACGATGATTCCATCTACTATTGGTGGTCATGGATATTAGTCGTGCCATCTTTAAGGTGTCATGTTGGTTTACAATCCACCTTCTCTACTTATTCATTAGGAAATGCCAATGCTCAGGTATCTCTATAAAATCCCTGGTTGAGCCCTAACGAGATATGAGAGGGTGGACTGGTCCATGCCAAGATGGGTTAGCATATACCAGCGGATGCTAGCAGAGGACATGCGGTTTCCCATTTTGAGGTTGGTACGGGAGGTACTAAATCACTATCTCATTGCTCTCAACCAGTTGATGCTGAATGTATGGTGGTTGCTGATGTCCTTAGACTGTATATGCACAAGGCTTCATATGGGATTTGGGGCCATGAATTTACTTTATTCTTATTATTGAAGGAGCACGATAAAGAAAAGGGCCGATAACTTTTTATGCTTCAGCATAGTAGGAGGCACTTGGTGACGGGGCTCAATACGTATGACAAGAATTGGAAGGATGCGTACTTCTTTGTGAGGGGGGAGTTAGTATTCGAGGAGAGTGGAGTCAAGTAGATTCCTTTCTTTTGGCAGGCAAGTGGTGAGTAGTTATAGCATTCATGTTGTTTGATGGAGTACTAAATCTCAGTGTTTCCTTTTTTGCAGACTTATCTTATAATCGAGCGATACCAATGTTACTTGCAAAGGAGAAGACTTGAAGGATCCTAGAATTATTTGAGGCTAAGTGAGATTACCACCACGTGTTGTCTAAGCTAAACTTGAGGTGTAGCCATTTGTGGCGTCATATTGGTGGGATTCGAGAAAGTACCCCCTTTCCACCATTAAGGCTGTTGATGTACACTCCATTGGTTTGATACTGCAATCTCATTATCTTTGATAAGTCTATTGTCCATCCTCTAACTCCTAGAGAATTCTCCCTTGTAGAGGAGAGAATGAAGGGAACTTTCCACGTGTCAAAGCGCGAATGAAGTTCACGAGAAGCACTAAGCTGAGAAGAGAAAGAAAATGAAGAGGCCAGAGTTTGTGGCATATGCTTCAGCTGCTCTTAAAGTGGTCCCATCCGGCTCTACCCCTACTGATTCTCAGAAGGTGGAGTCGTTGCATAAAGTGGAGTCGTCTCAAAGGGTGGAGTCGACTCAAAAAGCGATCGTCCTCGAGGATGAGGAGGCCATGAAGATAGTTATTCCCTCGGCCGCTTCGGCCTATTCAAACCCATCCTTTGTGGGAGGGGTGATGGGCTCTCTGCTGCTGCCTAAAGATGATCACCGACTGAGGGAGATAGGAGTTTCTCAAGCGGTTGAATGGTTTTCTACTCAATTGTTTCAGGTAAATCCTAACTTCTTTCCTCTGGTATTTTCTTCTTTAAGTCTCATATCTTATCTTGGGTGGTTTTATTGATTTCAGATAGCAGCGGGGGGAATGCATTTGAAGAAGTTAGTGTCTACCCAAGAGAAGTGGAACCAAGACTTGGCCAATGCCAACTCCCAGTTGAGAAGGCAGTTGGTCAAAGCTGGAGAAATGGAAAAAAAGTTACGAGAGAGTCAAGTTGAGATCAAGTCCAACCTCCAGCACTCCCAAGCAGAGATGGAATCTAGCTGGACGGAGTGGGAGGCCGAAAGGTTTACTTTGCTGAAGAGGTTGGAATCTAGCCAACAGAGTGAGAGGCTAAAAGAGTTGCTTTGATGGTGAGGTTGGAGTCTGTGGCTACAAGGTTATTCTCAAGACCCGCATCAAGTTGATGGAAGAGTTTCAGGCAGGTAAGCGTGACGAGTAGGACATTGAGGATGAGATTAAGTTGTACAAATCTTATCTGGCGGATTTGGCGGGAGGCAAGTAAGGTGCTATAAGAAGTGATAGACTTTCAAGGGAACTACATTCCAACTGTTGTTGATGTCTCGACCTTCCGGTGTTTGTAGCTTGTAAGCTCCCTTGCCAACATCCTTGGTGATTTTGTACAGTCCCTTCCAAATGCAACCGAGTTTGCCAACTTCTATCTCCTTCGTGTTCTGAAACACTTGGTTTAAGACCCAATCGCCAACCTTGAAGGTGCTAGCTTAGACATTCTTGTTGTAGTGTCAAGCCATCTTTTGTTTACAGATGATGTTAAGAATGAGGGCCTGATCCCTTAGTTCATTGGCAGTGTCAAGGTTGTGCATGGCAAAGTTGTCACTCGTTTTTTTCGTCATCCACCCATTGGAGTCCAGCTGAGGGGACTGATACTTCTACAGGGATGATTGCTTCCGAACCATAAGCCAAAGAGAAAGGTGTTTCTCCCGTGGAAGACCAAGTTGTGGTACACTAAGACCATAATACTTTGGGGAGTTCATCTGCCTAAGCCCTTTCAGCTTTCTGGAACCTTCTCTTCATTGTCTATATGATCGTTTTGTTGGATGACTCCACTTGTCCATTCGCTTAGGGATAGCGTGGAGTGGAGAAACTTAGCTTGATCCCTTACATCTGGCAAAAGTCTTGAAAGCCGGAGATTAGGAATTGGGAGTCATTGTCAGTGACTATCTCTTTCGTTAGGCTGAACCGATAGATGATGTTCCTCCATACAAAACTCTTCACCTCTCGATCCCTAACTTGGGTGAAGGCTTTGGCTTTTATCCACTAGGTGAAGTAATCGGTGAGCAATAACATGAAGACACGTTGCCTCGATGCAATTGGAAGTTTCACCACTATGTCCATCCCCCACTTCATGAATTGCCAAGGGGTGAGGATGGAGTTAAGCCGTTCGGGAGGAAGGTGTGATACTTGAGCAAAACATTGGCAATTACT